CCATCATCAGAGAAAACATCCAGCCAGGTAAGGCGCCTGTGTGGAGTCTGGGAGTTAAAGGCCAGGAAGGTAGCATCCCTGGGGTCAGGCAGGAGTGAAGGAGAGAGGGTTTGCTGGGAGCTGACCAGAGCTCATTTCTAAATACTAAGGCAGGGACTCCACTATGCAGGCTTTTGCCACCAGCCTGTCGCTGTCCCTGTGTAGCCTTTCCTGGGAGGTCACCTATTATAGCTTGTAGGTTAGAGCAGAAGCAAAATGACTTTCCATGTTGTAAATGTCAATGAAATCTAATTCCGTTTCCTAAAAGGAACAGAACCGACCACAACACTGTTGCTGAATCAAAGCTAAGCCAAAAAAAGAGTTCTGGTTGCTTTTATAAGAGTCATTTTTGCTGACTTAGGCAACCCATCCTTTTGAAACTGAAATACAATTGGGACATGAGTACAAATAAAAATAATATTTCTGCCCAGAAACATTCTGCCCCAAGGCAGATAAAGTGTTTAGATTTGAAAAAATACCTTCTCGTGTTAAATAATTTTATATAGAAGTTCACATTAACCGGGAAAGTATCTGGTTGAAGAATATGGTTGCTTGAAAAATGTTTTCGAGAGTCTGAATCGTGAACTGTTTGGGATTGAACTGAACTCTGACTTGTTTTCTTTTGTTCCTTCAGTAGCAAGAGCAGAGTCCCCCCTCCCACCCCAATCAGGTTGATAACTAACCTGTCTGCAAACTTAGTGTAAGAGTTTGGAGTGGCATTTGGGGAGAGGTGTTGGGTAGTGGGGTTGGGAGGATGTAGGGCTTATTCTAAGTTTCAAATTTCCAATCTTAAAAGCAGCTACAAGAACCACCACCAAAGTGGTTATTTGACTGCTCGGGCTGACAGAGCTTTCGGAAGTCGCTATGGGCCCCCCTTCCCCCCTCTGCCTCCTTTCAGGTGCCTGCCTTGCTTTTCAAAGGCCTTAACAGAGTGTTGTGTCACAGGTCAGGAGTATAATTTCTTAAAAATGGAAGCTGGGGAAGTGAGCTCTCTCGGAGAGACGTACGACTTTGACAGCATCATGCACTACGCCCGGAACACCTTTTCAAGGTCGGAACCTATGCTTCACCTCGTCTGTTTTATTGTGCCTGCCGCAGGCTTGGGTCGGATTCCTGGAGGTCTGCAGAGAGCGGGTCTCCGCATGCTCCTCGCACGGTTGGTGTGTCTGTCCTTGAAATACAGTGGCCTCTGGGCTGCAGTGAAATATAATCTAATCAGGCTCCTGCTAATAAGACTGAATCCCATTGTGAAGTGGGTGTTCCATCATGCCTAGTGTCACAAGCAGCAAACTGGAAAAGGGACATTATCGAGAGGCTGGCTGCCCTCATAACCGAGAGGCTCTGTGTCACATTTCCAGTGGGTTGGGGGGTCTTCTAAAGCAGCAGCCACCAACCGGTGGTCCTTGGACCCCTGGTGGTCCGTGAGGTCCGAAAGGTTGGCGACCGCTGTTCTAAAGCCTGACCTTGAAGTAGGCACGGAGGCGTTTCCCAGTTCTCCTCGAGGAGGCTAGGTCTACTGGAAGCTAGATGGTGTCAGAGCTGGGAGGGTGCTAAATCATGGCTTCATTTCAGAGGTGAAGAAGGTGAGGCTCCAGCCAGCTCGAGGGCACGCAGGTCGCTGGGGTTGGCGTGAGAACAAAGATCCAGGTCTCCTGGCTGGTGGTCACACACGATGGGAGCTGAGATCCCCAAGTACAGCCGGACCCGTTATTTATGGGCGGCGTTGGCAGGATCTGTTTTGATGAGTTAGTGCTGTGCTGAACCAGATGCTAAATATTTTCAATACTGCCCTGGCGTCTAGGCCATCGCACTATTCTGTATATAGAAGTGCTCCCTGCCCCCAGAGGAGGTCCCTCAAAACCTCAGTTTCCAAACCAGGCGGAGGAAGCCTCAGATTTCCATATGGCAATGAATGAGGCCATATCTGTCTGTCCTTCACCCATCTGTGCGAGGATAAATATATAATAATAAATAATAGATAAATTATAAAGCAGTACAAAGAGTTATGACAGCTACAGAAACAAGACCCAAGTGACCAGCTTCTCACTTGGACCAATTTGACACTGGTTCCCTCATGAAATCAGTGCTTTGTCTCCACTTGGCAGCCTGCAGCCCCTGGGGCTGATGTGATGTGGCCCAACTGGTCCCTGCTCCATTTCCCAAACCTGCTGGCCACCCAGGGCCCAACACCCAAGCATCCCCCACTCTGATCTCTGATCCTCCGAGAGGCTTCTGGCCTTTCTACTCCGTGGGAGCTTAGAGTTCCTTAACGACAAGCTGGCAGAACTCGCATGACATCACTTCTGTCACATTTTATTGGCCGGAGCAAGTGACAGAGCCGGCCCAGATTCAAGTGATGGAAAAATAGATACTACCTCTAAATATGGGGAGTGGCAACTTCACGTTGCAAAGGGATGTGGATATCGGGAGGCATAATTCATTATTTTAACAGTCAGCCACAACTACCTTCTCACCTCTGCACCAGCGTTCACAGTGGTTCTGGCAAATCTATTTCACAGCAAGTAGATGCCTGCCTTGCCCTGCCTGCAGTTTTCTGCATGGATCTTCAGAAAGCTCCTTTGTTCAGTGGGATGTTTATCAATGGCATCCTTTTTTTTTTATTATTGATTTCAGGGAGGAAGGGAAAGAGAGAGAGATAGATAGAAACATCAATGATGAGAGAGAATCATTGATTGGTTGCCTCCTGCACGCCTCCTACTGGGGATCGAGCCCGCAACCCAGGCATGTGCCCTTGACCAGAATCGAACCTGGGACCCTTCAGTCCACAGGCTGACGCTCTATCCACTGAGCCAAACCAGCTAGGGCTATCAATGGCATCCTTACTGGTGGACTTTCCTGCCCACTTTTTGTCAAAAGTTTCCCACTCCTTAACTCCCTGTCATTACTTCTGCTCACATGTCCCCTGTAAAAGAGCAGAAAATGGTCCACAGAACATTTACTCATCTGGGAGGCAAATGCTATTCCTGCTGATGGGAAACCCAGTCTTCGTGTGTCTTGACGACTGAGCTGTCTTCTTCCAACTTTATTCCCTTGAGTTTATTGCAGCCCCCCTGCTCCCCTTGGTTGGACCGGGGCTGTGGGTAGTGGTGTCTTTGGAGGACTTGTGGGGCGAGGGTCCAGGAGATAAGGAGACAGTTCTCTGGTACAGTGTTGTCTTTGGAGAATTCTGAGTGGACAGTTTTATTCCCTAAAGCAGTGGTCGGCAAACTCATTAGTCAACAGAGCCAAATATCAGGGGGTACAACGATTGAAATTTCTTTTGAGAGCCAAATTTTTTAAACTTAGACTATATAGGTAGGTACATTGTTATTAACTTAATTAGGGTGCTCCTAAGGCTTAGGAAGAGCCACACTCAAGGGGCCAAAGAGCCGCATGTGGCTCGCGAGCCGCAGTTTGCCGACCACGGCCCTGTGGCATCTGCCAAACCCTTTCTTAGTTTAGCAGAATGCCAATGCTAAGAGTTGTCCTACATAAAAGGGGAAAGGCATTACTACAGTGGTTTACACAGAGGACGTCTCTTGTTGTAAACATCTTCCAGAACCCACCACCTTGCTGGCGGCTCAGGATGTGCTGGGGTGGGGATGGGATAGGGGTGGGAGGGGGAGGGCTCAGGCAGGGGGTACACCATGCCCAAAGCATGAAGCTGTGCATAGGGCCTGTACTCAGCTGGGCATCCTGGTATTCTGGCATCCACTTGTCTGTTTTGGTCATTTTAGACTTTATTTCCATGGGAGTAGAAGAAGACATTAATGTTAAAAGGAATGGCTGAGACCATCTCGGCCAATCTCTTATTGTTCAGAGAAGTAAACTGCGGCTCAGAGAGGGGAGGGGACTTGTCCGAGCTCACTCGGGTGGCAGAGCCAGGCTTTACACAGAAATTTCTAGGCCCGGGCTCTCTTGAGTACCCCTAGTTCTCTGCATTCATTCATCTCACTTCCTATCTGATTACCCCTCTTGCCAGCGAGTCCCCAAATTCCAGTCCCCATTTTTACCAGCTCATCTAGTACTTCCCGACCAGCCCTTGGCAGTCTCACATTGTACAGGTTCCCATGAGCTCTCTGCAGCCTCTCCAAGACTTGTCCGTGCTCAGCACTGCCCATTGCACAGCTCCAGGGGGCACCGTTCACATCGTCATCTCTCTGAACGGTGTTCCCTGCAGTTTTGCAGCCTGGTGGCCCTGGGGCCTGAACCTGTAAAGCGCTTGGTGGAAATGCTCAATAAACATCAGTAAGGGAATCCCTTAGGCCACTGGGCTAGGGCATATTTTTAAACTTGGCAGAGTCATTTTCCCATTGGGAAGGGAGCAGGCAGCTGATGAAACGGAATGCTCAAATGCCAGCACAAGAGCTGCGCAGGGAGGAGGAATGTCGATGGGGTTATGGTCAAGGAAATGAAGACTGTAAATCCCAGCGCGGTCCCTGACAGCCCTGACTTTTCTTTCTCCTTCTCTCGCTTTCTGTCCCTCCTGCAGAGGGGTTTTCTTAGACACCATCCTCCCCCGCCGAGACGACAGTGGCGTCAGGCCAACCATTGGCCAGCGCGTGCGGCTCAGTCAGGGAGACATCGCTCAAGCCAGGAAGCTGTACAAGTGCCCAGGTAACTGAGCCCTGGGAGTCCCAGGGCCCCCAGAGCGTCCCCAAGCACGACTCCACTGCCCTTTGCAGACATTCTCCTTGGCTGGGAAAACAACTTGGGGAACCTGGGGGGACGGCCTCTGGCAGCTGTGATTCCTAATGTGCTGCTGTTGGGAGGTGTGGGGTGGTATAGAAAGCCCAGATGGTGAGGTGGTTGCCCGCAGCGAGGTGAAGAGTAGGCCTGGAGCCCACAGCTTAACTTGTGGGACGCTGCAGAGCTCTGGCAAAGCCTGATGTTCAGAAGAGGAAGGAGGCATCGTAGAACCACAGTGCACCCCGTAACGGCAAAGGCGCCTCTCCTTTCTATGGGAGTAAAGGGTGTGTTTTGGCAAAACAAGAGGCAGTGGTGTTGCAGGAAGACCGAGCATGAAGGAGAATGCTTTTGGAAGGAGGGAGTCAGCTCCCCAAACCCTGGGAGGTGGAGGGGCCTCAGTGCTGTAAATGAGGTCATTGCTGTGGTCTTAGGACTCTTCTAGCCGACCAGGGTGCTGGCCTGTGGCCCCCCAGTCTGCCATTGAAGTCTGGGCAGTACACTGGGTTCTGAGCAGATGCCCACTTCTCTGCCAGTTCAGAAGCCTGCTCCCCTTGAACTTGCCCTCTTGTTTGCCTTTTGTCCCCTTGACTTCAGCATCATCAAACCCCCTGCTGCCTTGGGTGGGGGGGTGACCTCACATCAACCCCTTTAAACTGCTGAACTTGAATGCAAAGCATTGGCTACCACAGCCACGTTTTTACCACTGATGGGACAATGCATTGCAGCTTTGGGGGTGGAAAAAGGAAACTCCATTACCAACAGGTCCGGTTACTTTTTTCAACCCCCAAGACCAGGCACACAGTTGATCATGGGACAGAATATTTGAAATAGGGGCCATCCTAGAATATCTGGGTTATCACATCGCCCTAAGCAGCGGGGTCACGGGGGCTTTGCTCCATCATGAACCTCTAGGAAATATGTTCAGCCAGCTATTAGTCATCTGGGGGTGCATTAGGGCTGCAGTACAGGACACACATATCATGTGTCCCTGCTGGATTGAAAGAGAAACCTTATAGCATTCCCTGGGAAATGCCATCGTATTTATTTAGTTATAATGTATATGCCTCTTACTTCCCAAAAGGATTCGAGGCAGCTGGTAAATACCGCGGAGCCATACAGTAACGTATCTGTTCCCGCAGAATGTTGATGATTATTCCGAAATAATTTCCATAGAGCCCTCGGGGGTGGTGACTGCCAGGCATAATCCTCGTGATGCCTGGCAGTTGTTCGGTAACATGATATTGAAGCCCCGCTATCCAGGACTTCCTGAGGTGAGGATGGGCCGCCCTCCAGCTACCCCTTCCTGCAGCTCCAAAGACGGCAGCTCCCAGGAGTTTCAAGTAGTAGCTGAAAGCGAGGGTGGTTGCTGTGCAGAGTCTGAATTGCACTCAGGAAAATGTGCAGAAGGAGCTTCTTTCCCACGTTTTGGGGGTGGCCCCCTAAGAGCAGGGGCCCCCAGCAACCCAGTGGCTATGTCTTTGGGGTCTGAGCCCCCAGGGAGTCAGGGGAATATGAAACCTGCAGTGTCCAAGCTTCCTCATCCAGGTATGAGGACAAATTAGGGAAATACTTTCACATACATAAGGAGTAGGCTTTACCAGGGGTGGGCAAACTTTTTGACTCGAAGGCCACAATGGGTTCTTAAACTGGACCGGAGGGCCGGAACAAAAGCATGGATGGAGTGTTTGTGTGAACTAATATAAATTCGAAGTAAACATCATTACATAAAAGGGTACGGTCTTTTTTTTTTTTAGTTTTATTCATTTCAAACGGGCCGGATCCGGCCCGCGGGCCGTAGTTTGCCCACGGCTGCTTTAGACTCATGGCCCAGCAACCCTGAAACATTCAAGACCAGGATGGCCTCTTGTATAGTGTTCCAACTTCCCGGGCCTCTGGTCATTTTTTCCCCCTGTTTTCTTGACTATTTGGTAGCTCATTTGGAGGTGGGAAGCAGGAAAAGAAGAGGCAAGGTTGAAGCTAATAGCTGATAGGAGTTTCAAAGCTTTTTTTCTTTTCGTGTTACCTACTTGGGCTTTCATATCCTTTCTGCCACAGACATTGTTATTGGTAATTGCAAGGCTGCTGTGTGGGGAGCACTCACCATGTGCCAAGCGTCAAGCTGATCCAGTTCATTTAATGCAGATGAGTTCATTAACCTTTTGGGCAGGCCACACCCATTTAACAGATAAGAAAACTAAGGCCACCACCACACATCCTGCTGGAGAGCTGAGATTCAAACCCAGCTCTAGGCATACTCAATCCTGAGAGCCTCAGAGGTATTCCTGGGGTGTTCCTTTTTGGTGCCCAGACTCTATTTTCACTTTTATTAGCCGGGAAGATGCCAGTGGGCCTGGCACACTTCTCGCCAATGCGTTCTGAAGGCTGTGGCTAGTAAAGGGGTGTGTCTGCTCGGCAGCCCTGTAGAGGGCGCTCTGAGGCGGAGAGTGTGTGTGTGAGAGTGCCTGAATCCTGTTTGTCCTTTTGCTTGTGCAGCATGTGGGGAGACTCTGCAGGACACCACGGGGAACTTCTCTGCACCTGGCTTTCCGAACGGCTACCCTTCTTATTCCCACTGCGTCTGGAGGATATCGGTCACTCCAGGGGAAAAGGTAGGAACGTCAGGAAATGACCTAACAGCCTTTAAGTTGGGTGACGTGTGAGGAGTTATTATTAACAGGAGTAATAACAGCTGTTATGCTGTGGGCACCCACTGTGCGCCAGGCACGCAGTGCTAGCTTGCCTAATGTTATTTCCTTCTGGACTTTTCCGCCAGCCTCCCTCGTACAGATGGAAGCCTATACACTAAATGTCCGTAAGAGGCATAAATCAAGCCCACAGTGTGTAAAACAAAGTAGGTCCTATCCTTTTACCTTGATAAGTGCACCGTCAGAATGCCCTGGAAGGTGAGGAGCCAATTGAGAAGGTCTCAAAGTGCTGCTCTGGCAGGTGGCAATATGGGGAGAGCTAGACACCAACCCACAGCTGCCCTCTCCTCCTCCCAGCCCCAGTCCCATCTCAGGAGCACCCAGGGTGACCCGTCAGCCCACACACCTGAGCACCCTTCACTCCTGCCTTGCAAATAGCCATTGCTTGGCTGCCCCTGCAGTGGAAGTGGACTGCCCAGGTGTGCTGTCTTCCCCCGGGAGGATGGATCCAGGGCAGAGGTCCTTGCATGTCCTGGAAGTGGACTCAGGGGCTGTTTGGACAGGGAATCCCGGGATTCTGAGCTCCTGGTGTGAGGTCTAGAAGCTGGGCAAGTTCTAGGTGGGCATGTTCCTTTAGCTCTGAAGACCATGCCTTTTGAGAGCTAAGCCCAGGGCAGGGGCCACTTTTGCCCTCGTCCAAGAGGTTATGTTCATGACCCTACTGCAATGTGCATTTCCATATACCCACTATATGGACATGCAATCTGAGGCTCAGACCTTTTATAAATTACCCAAATTCACAGTAAGATATAGAAATGAGGACTGGGCCTCCACAGTTCGAAACAAGTTTTCTACATGACACCTCTCTACAGTTCAAGTTATCTCAAAACAGATGCAGCTATCTTGGAAATGTTTGCTCTGTCATACCTGTCATAGCTTGTCTCACAAATCATAATGCTGGTTTATTGGGCTGCCCCCTTCTAAACTCATCAAGGACAGAGCTTGTTCACCTCCAGCACCTAACGTAGCCCAACACTCAACATAACCCAGCACCCAACATAACCCAGGGTACAGAGTCACACAATAAGTATTTGTTGAATGAACGTGTGGATAGACGAGTGGCTGAGAGAAAAACCTGCAGCTGGGGGTGCAGTGAGAGGTCTCGGAATTTTTCAGGTGCCCATAGCCAACTTACAAGTATTCCAAATTCATAACGTTAAAAGATGTTCATTGAAATGTCACTTTAAACATAGTGTGAAAACTAGAGAGAAATAATGGCTAGGCATGATTGGCAGCATTTTCTGTGTACTGTTTTTAGCATATTATGTAGAGTCCCTTGTTTAATCCTCACAAGTTCATGTGAAAGGTGTTGTTACCACACTCACTTTGCAGGTGAGGGAATGGACCTGCCCAAGGCTACTCAGTTTGTTGCAGAGTTGAGAGTTGAGCCCAGGCGCTGAGAGCCAGGATGCTTACCCATCTTCCTATATTATTCCACAAAAGGACAGGCTAAGACATTTTGAACATGCATACACACACACACACACACACACACACGCACATTCACACCTCACACTCACATGCACACACCCTTCCTCTGGCTCTAAGCATTAAGACATTGTGGTTGTCCTGTTGAGCCTGAGAAACTGAGACCTGTCCGCCTTGGGGGACATCCCTGTGCCTGCGGGGGTGGCAGCGGGAGGGAGGCAGGAAGGAGGAGGAGAAGGAGGAAGGGGTCTTGTAATCCCCAAATTGTTGAATTGCCCCTGCTAGCAGAGGCTCTGTGATGTGTGTGAACTGTGTAAGATTTTGCCCAGCCTTAATTATTATTGCTAACTGGGGGCAGGGAGAATACATATCATTGAGATTCCTGCACTGATTATTTCAATTTCTGCTCACCCAGCCTTCCCCAGAGCTGCTGGTAATTAGCAAACTTGATTGATTCGCATTATCACCTCCTGTTCATCACCTCTTCCCCTATGGTCTTTATGGCTCACTAACATACTTACAGTAATTAGCCTGAATAATTACCCCATTCATTCAGATCATGAATGTGTTACTGAGGAATTTGTAATAACATTTCCTTTCTGAAATTTAAAAAACAAAGGCTACAGAACCGTATAGCAACCAGCTAGCAAGCACTCCCGAGCCAGTCCACTGGGATATAAGCACTGAAGGGGGATGCGAAGGGAGTGGAAGGTACAATTTCTGTCTTCAGGAGACTTAGAATTTGGTTAGGCTCCTCCACACCCCTGGGGAGTCTGATGTGATTGAAAGAGGCGCATTTGCTTGGCACCAGTATTGTTTTTTATTTTATTTTTGGTTAATTGTCACCTGAGGATATTTTTTCCATTGATTTTTAGAGAGAGTGGAAGGTGGGGAAGGAAGAAGGGAGAGAGAGGGAGAGAGAGGTACATTGATAAGAGAGAGACACATCAATCAGTTGCCTCCCACACACTCCCAGGTAGGGGTCAGGGATTGCACCTGCAATCCTGCAAGGTTTGTGCCCTTGACTGGAAATTGAACCTGAAACTCTTCTGTGTAGGGGCTGATGCTCTAACCACTGAGCTACCTGCCGGGGTGGCACCAATATTTTTTTTTAAGCTTCTGAGGTGATTCTATATGCAAGTAGGGTTGAGAACCACTGGTCTAGTGTCAAAGAGCAACATCTCTCTCTCTCTCTCTCTCTCTCTCTCTCTCTCACACACACACACACACACACACACACACACACACACACCCGCCCCCTGGGGATGGAGCCCACAACCCAGGCATGTGCCCCTGACCGGAATCGAACCTGGGACCTTTCAGTCCACAGGCCGACACTCTATCCACTGAGCCAAACCAGCCAGGGCGGGAAGTGCTTTGTTTTGAGGTAGCCTCACCGTTTCATGGGGAGTGAAGAAGACAAGAGCCGGCAGAGAAGAGAGACCATGGAGAGAGGACTGGCTAGTGTGGCAAAACCAGAGAGGCTCACAGCAGAGGGCCCACGGAGAACAAAGACGAATACTTAACAGTCTGTTCTATTTGGCCAACGGGGCCCTGGAACCTTTGCCCTGCAGCCCTCCAGCCCAGGGATTTACTTGGAGACCAGGGACTGGGGCTGTTTGAATATAAATGAAAGTGGGAGGATGAAGATGCTAGAGAGAGTTGAACTGAGGGAGAGAACGGTTCCCCAGGTGGGAAAAGGAGTAGGGTCAGAGGTGCAGGGGCTGGAGCAGGGCTGCCCTCAGCGGGACCCTGTAGAGCAAGAAGATCTGAGAAATGATGGAGCAGGGACATGCTGAGCACGGGCCAGAACAACGTGAGGGCAGGACTGGACGAGCCCCGGCTGCTCAGTGCAGGAGAAGGCACAGCAACCTGCAGGGTGGGATCCATGGGGGTGATGGGAGCGGGGAAGTCTGAACTCTGGGCCATCTGCCAGCGGAGCCCTGAGCTGGAAGGGATGTGGTGGGGACCCGGGCCAGTTTATGGGAGCAGCGCCTGTGTGCAGGGTCACCCAACCCCCTGCACTGGTGGGGACAGGGCATCCACTGAATGGCCTCAGGATGCACAGAAGAACTGGAACCTTCCTTTCCAGTCCAACTGATTCCCACCTCCCAGCCTTTGCTCCTTCTCCTTTCCCCTCTGCGTCCTCGTTCCAGACACACACACAGGGAACCGGGCTGGGTGTACTTACAATGCAGTGCAGGTCTGCAGGCTCGTCCTTGCCTTTGCTCATGTCGCCCTTCTCACCAGAATGCTTTCACCCTACTCCTCGGCCCACGGGACCCTTGTTCCCCTTAGCTTAAACGCCACCTCCTCCGAGAAGCCTTCTCCAGGGTCACCGGGCAGAATTCAGTTCTCTCTCCTTGGGCCTCCTCAGCACCCTTCCCATCTATTCCTCTCTTTGCAGCATTTATTCATGCTGTTCTAACTGGCTTGACACACCTGCCCTTCCCTCTCTGCCTGAGATCCCTAAAGGCAAGAACCCTGTCTTTCTGATCTTTCTGTCTCGATAGGCCAGCACAGACTGGCACACAGTAGGTGGAACGAACGAACGAGCGAGCGGGCGAACTGTAGGGAGGCTATTAGACACACCACACCTCAGAGGAGTGAGGTCATGGCCGAGGGGACATTGATCACGGAGGTGCTCAGATGCACTCGGGCTAACCCCAGGCCCTTTAGAATGATTGATGATGTTATAAGATCTCTTCGTATCTCTGAACTTCATCGACCCCTTGCCTCCTTCCGCATCCCCAGGCTCAGTGCGTCCTGGCCCTGCTTTAATGCATCTTGCTTTCTGTAAACCACCCTGTGACTTCAAAAGCTGGACGTATTCCCCCGACGGAACCGAAGGACCCATCTCCTCTGTTTACCCCCCATCCTGCTTAAGGTTTATTATTGAATG